ATAATTATCTTCTAGCACTGTGCATGTAGATGGCTGCTAAACCATAGATGTGGATCATGTTCCTTTAGATGAGGAGTGATTTGTCCTATTTACGGTTCCAGCATAGCAGCTTACGTATAATAGGTGCCTGATAAATGGTTTTGAAGAAAGGCTTATGTTTTCCCTATTATATACCTAAACACTAATTTTTGAACCCATTTTACATTTATCATGATTGAAGTTCATCGTCTTGTTTGTAACTTTTTGCTCCTCTATTTTTTATTTTGTCATCTGTCTTAATGTGGGATGACTTCTGGCTTTTGTGCTCAAGACAGATTTGGGAAGCATGCCTTTTGTGTCAATACCAATGAATAAAAGAAATACCAAGTCTTGTTATTTTTTTTTTTTCAATCTGACACAGTGGCTTGGTGGAAAACATGCTAGATTCTGTAAGCCTTAATTATATTATTTTTAGCAATGCTAATTTACATTGTTTCTATAAATAAGTCATTTTGACTTTCAGAACTTTGGTCACTTCATCTGTAAAATGCCTTACCTGCTTCAGAGAGTCAGTAGGATGATCAAATATGATAATATATTTGAAAGCAGTTTTTAAAATGTTTTAAAAATTATATAAATCCAAGGTTTGAAGTTGTTTTTGTTATTAATGATCTATTGAGAATCTCATTAAATGTTGAATGAAATAGTTCTTTTTTTTTTAAGATCTTATTTATTTGAGAGAGAGAGAGAGTGCGAGCACAAGCAGGGGAAGGGGCAGAGGGAGAAGCAGACTCCACACTGAGCAAAGAGACCAGTGCAGGGCTTGATCCCAGGACCCAGAGATCATGACCTGAGTGAGCCAAAGGCAGAGGCTTAACCCACTGAGCCACCCAGGTGCCCCTGAATGAGATAGTTCTTATTTGTAATTTTGCGATTTGTTTTATAACACCTAAGGTTTGAGTGTTTGGGTTAATAAAAATGTATTTTATACATAGTTTTATTTCCCTAAAGTTTATTAATTTGGTTTGTCATTGGGAGCAGGAGTGGGGGAAGTAGAACTTTCAGGGTTATGATCCATTTCATGTTCTTGAAATAACATCCATCGTAATTATATTTTGTGCTACACAGGACTTTGTTTTTTGCAATTTGAATTGTGGGCCTGTGAAATTTTATTAACTTGTTTGAAAAGACTCTGCATCAGCATTGTGTTTGTTCTGCTAAATTACCTTGACTTTTTAATTGAAAGGCAGTTTATTATAATTTTAGTATCAGCACTATAGAAAGTCATAGAAATATTTAACAGTCATGTAGTTTGAACCCTCTCTGATGAGGAGGGAAATTATCTTGTCTGCCTGACTTTTAATAGATGACATTCACCCACTGGATCTGCCAAACCAATGTATAAAGATATTGTATCAGCTTCTAAACTGAAAACTCAAATGGAAGTGAAATTCAAATTGGCCTCTACTTGATGTATGCATGTCCCAGAGCACTGGGGAGTATATGAAATCAGTCCTAACACAGCTACTTTTCCCCATTCTGATTATGATGATCCTAATTTAACCCTTTCCTATGTGAAAGATTTTGATTCTTTATGCAATAACAAGTGATTTCAGTACCCCCATCCAGTGTAAAACACCCTCTTGGTCATCATTTCTATATAATACAAGAAGCAAACCCCCAGGGTGAGCAAATTGAATGAATTGAATGAAAATACTTGCTTTTTGTTTACTAGCCTCTGAAGTTATTTCATCCATCTCAGCCCATTTATCCTACATGTAATAGGAATTCTTACAAAATGAAGTGGGAATATTTGTGTCAAGGATCCTGCACAGGGGTGGGTTACGTGGCTCCCGGCTGGGAAGTCTGTAGGTCAGGCCACACGGTGATAACCATTTCTGAATCCGTGAGCTAAAAACCTTGCATGAGGGGGAGTTGGATCAGCTGCTATTTCATTAGCTTACAATAAAACTCTCTTTGTTGTTAAATAGTTAGGATGTGTACTAAGTAAATAATTCAAATTCAATTAGTAGTTAAAAAGTATACGATGAAAAAGATGTGTACAAAGCAAATAATTCAAATTCAATTAGTAGTAAAAAGGTATACGATAAAAAATGTCTACCCTCCTATGGCCTCCAGCTTTTCTCTTTAGGGGTAACTCTGAATGTTTCTTGGGTATTTTCCCAGAGAATTCTATAAATTTACAAACGTGTGTGTGTGTGTGTCCCCGTGTGTCCGTCCTTTTTAAAAAGATAACACACTTTTCCACACCTTTTTCACTTACATATCTTAGATGTCATTAATATCACTACATACAGAGTTACTTCCATTTTTAATGGTTGCATAATACACCTTTGGATGTTTGATAAATTTTTAAACAACCAACCCCCCTATTGGTGGACATTTAGCTTATTTTTAATCTTTTCATACTACAAACAATATTGCAGTGAGTGTTCTCTATATTCTTGGACCTTAATAGCTATAGGATAAATACCTAGAAGTGGAATTGCTGGGTCAAAGAGTAAGTGCATTATTTATTTTGATAGGCATTTTCAAATGACCTATCAGAAGATCAACTATTTCCAGTTCCATCAACAATGTTTAATTTACAACAGAAATTTTGTCTTTCTAGTGATAAAGATTTCCTCGTCTCTTCCTAGAATTCAGATACCTAGGAAACCAAAATCAGAAGATTTTTAATAAGCATGAAGCCAAGGGAGTGGAATGGTCTTAAGGGGTTTTCAGACAGGGCCGCCTGCCTCACCAGGCTCTACTTTTCTGAGACATCCTGTGCCCATCTCTCTCCCTCTCTCTCTCTCCCCCGGTAACATGCGTGATTAAAAATCAATAAAACCAAAGCTCTCCTTTCAAGACTTCGTACTGATAGTCCCCTTTCTGTATGTCCTCATCATTATATTATCATTCTTTCTTTTACAACATGCAATTATTCTGTTATATACAGATTGTGGTAATTTTTCAGTTATTTTAACTTGCCTGATTACAAATTACAGGTGAGGGTTTATCTCTTTCAGAAATAAAAATGTCGAAAGGATTCTTTCCAAACGTGTTTCCTAAAAACAGCTCATTCTATTAGTGGTTTGTGAATCCTTAGAAGTAGCATTTCCTGATTCTTAAGAGTTTGATTTTTCCTGTCATTTATTTCAATATTTTCATATTTCAAACTCCTAGACTCATTCGTGTTTGGGTCAATAGCCAACTCTGCTCTGATTACCACTGACTGACTGATAAATTATTATAAAGTGTTTTGTAGGTAGAATATGCTATAAAAGTGACATTCCATCCCTACATTTCCTAATGTGCCACTGAGTCACGTGTAAAGGGGAACGTGTTGATTGATTTACGTGATCTGTGTCTGGCAAATACATAGTGAGCATGAGGGGCTATGTTTTTAAGAATCTTGAAAATTACTTCATATTTTAAGTGGTATTTATTTATTTATTTATTTATTAAAGATTTTATTTATTTATTTGAGAGAGAGAGAATAAGAGACAGAGAGCATGAGAGGGAGGAGGGTCAGAGGGAGAAGCAGACTCCCTGCCGAGCAGGGAGCCGGATGCGGGACTCGATCTTGGGACTCCAGGATCATGACCTGAGCCGAAGGCAGTCGCTTAACCAACTGAGCCACCCAGGCGCCCTTAAGTGGTATTTATTTTAACTATGACATGCTTCCCATTTAATTCTGTGAATAGGTTGGTCACTGCTTTAGCCCGCAGTCTGTTCTTTATTCGCTGTCATCCTTTTGTTCTCTCTCTTGTGTATCTTCTAGTCCAAGAAAGTCAGTATAATCACCAGCCATTTGTGTTATAGAATTACTAAATATTTTATAATCCTGAAAGGCTAGTGTAATTGGAGGAAGAAACGGGAGTTGAGGTTACTGTACAGAAACTCTTTTCCTTAACAGATACTTTTATTTAAAATATTTTCCCAGAAAAAATAAAAAATAAATAAAATATTTTCCTGGGAGTTCCCCTCTACTTGCTAGATGAGATGCTGCCCAGTTCATGAATCATTTAATAAAGCCAATTAGACCTTCAGAATTTTTAAAAACAAAAAATAAATACTTTCCCAATAACCTTAGGCTTAGAATAAATTCTACTCATTATTATCTGTGGGTATGATATACTTACTAGTCTATATGGGATGTGTTTTAAGTTTCTGTAGGATATCATTTTTTTCCCTCATTGGTTCTTTTTTCACCTTCAAATTTAAAGTAATGAAGGTTTGTATGCAGAAAGTAGCTGTGAAATAGCTATTTGGAGTGGGGTGCATTTCCCTAAACATTCTTCTAAGAATAAGAATAACGTCCTTATTCAAAGATTCTGCTATGGAATCAGGTTAATGGGTTTCTTATTGCTAAGCTGGGATCCTAACCACTATTTATTATACATCTCTGGGTGAAATTTTTTTGTGTTCTAAGAAAGTTACATATTTTTTAAAAAACTGTTGACATAAAACTCATTCCAAAATTGAAGACTAATTCAAGTGTTTCTCCAGGAATTACATACTGGATATTTTTATTTTGTACTTGAGGGCAATTGCTAACTAGTCCCTTTAAGTATGTAATTTTCAGTAACACTTAATGTTTCTTACATTTATTCTTAGATTTTAAGTTCTGTTTAAAATTGTAGAATGAGTTTAGATTTCAAATTAAGTTGCTATATTTTATCTAAACATCTGTCAGCCAGGAGTGTGACTAAGGGAGAAGAATCCTTTTAATTATTATTATAGTGGTAAAATTGTTTCTGTGCTTTGGAATAATCCATACCAAAAAGACAAAGCAAATAAACTGGTAATCATCCAGCAACAAAACCTTCTATCTATTCCACAAAACCTGAGCAAAGAGCTGACAGATAGTGATACTTTATCAAACTTTATCAGCTACCATTGAAAAGATATAAATTCCAGAGTTGATACTTACTGAAAGAGAATACCCAGAAGATCTCTCTGATAGGACTCACTGCTGCTACCATGAAACTAAAATGTTTGTGTTTTTATTTTAGTGACATTGTATGCCTCCTGCATTCTCCTGGGAGTGTTCTTGAATAGCAGTATACCTATATTTTTTGAGCTTTTTGTGGAAACTGTCTACCCAGTTCCAGAAGGAATTACATGTGGAGTTGTCACTTTTTTAAGTAATATGTTCATGGGAGTACTTTTATTTTTTCTCACATTTTATCACACAGGTAAGAAATTTGACTTTTTATTTCCTATCTAAATGTGTTACCAAAGAGGTTTGGGGCACTGGTGTATAGGGAATTTATATGGAGAATTCTCACCAAAGCAAATAACTTTATTTGAGCTTTCATGTGCCAGTAAAAAAAAAAAAAATCCTCAGTTGTTTTTCTTGAAATGCATCCTAAGCCTGATCTAGTGCACGCTCACTCCCCAGAGTTTCTGATTTCATGAACCTGGACTGGGGCCCTGCATTTGTATTTTTAAAAGCCCCTCAGGTGATTCTAATATGCAGTTTCTTTGAGAACCACTGGTATATTGCTTTTTAAAAGGTACTTAGAATCTACTGTCTTAACATAAGATATAAATTAATGCCTGGGGTATATTTGTAGTCACCCAAGGAGTGTGTAGAATGTATAGAACAGCTCTATCCAATGGAACTTTTTATGATGATAGTGATGCTCTTTGTACCGTCCAATACAGTTCCACTAGCCACATGAAACTAGTGCAGGTAAGGAATTGGATTTCTTTAATTTCATTTTAATTAATTTAAGTTTAAATAGCTGCATGTGGCTAGTGGCTAGTGAATTTGTTAGCACAGGGAAAGAGTGAAAAGAAGGTTGAAGTGAGAACCCAGGAGTACACCTTGGAAGAAAAGGGAGACCCTTACAAGAGAGAGAGGGATGGGGTCCTGAACTCAGCTGGAGGAGTTAGGCTTGGACAAAAGGAGTTAGGAGAGGAGGCAGCGTGCGTGGGCACAGGGGCAGACACGTTTCCTGGGGAGATCATTGAAGGAACTCTTTGATGGCACCAGCTTCTGCTTATAAGCCAATCTGTTAAGAACTGGTGGGAAGATAGTGGAGGAAGGGCTTACAGAGAGAATGAAGCGTTAAAATAACCTTTGAGGGGTGGGAGGAGACACTATGGGAACAGCTGGAAAGGTTGCTAGGCATGTTGAAGGCAGGCCTGTCTGATGCTGGGGTCCATGGGTTTGTAGTGATTCCGTTTTGCATAGTTGTTTGGTTATCTCTGATATCCTTTCTTCTCCTGTCTAAAATCTTTCTTACTGTTTCAGAAAATTTGAGTATAATTTTCTGGTATTCTTTTTTTCATGTTAAAATATAAGGACTTATACTTGTGATTCTTGAATGTAGAACTTTTATTAATTTCTACTAGGCTTAGATCCTATTTTATTTCCTCATCTTAATCTATTACTAACCCTTTTCCCTCATTGCTATTCTCTTAACTGCTCATCAAATACCAGTAAATTTGGATAATTTGTACATGGAAGAATCTAATTTGTAAGATTCAAGTGTAAGAAATGCTCCCAAATGTGGCAATCCAAGAGTCCTAATTGTTTATAGGAAACTTTCCAACAGGCTTAGAATTGAAATAATAGCCATGATAACCGGCTTGACTGGAAAATAAATTTTTGACTTTTCAAAGCTGATGGAACAGTCTGGCCTGGGTTTTGGACAACTTTTGGTATAGCATTTTCACCTAACAGCAGAAAGCATCTGAATGATATATTAACTTAATATATCATCTGTAATTAACAACAGATTATTTCCATCAATCAGTAATGCAGGTAAAGTAGGTTTTAACGTTCCTAAACTTGATCTAAGTTGAGTTTCTCATTTGGAGGAGAGAGATTAATGAAGGCAGCCCACTGTTTACAGTCCCCCTGGAAACGTGTTTCCATCAGAGAAAATGCCATCAGGAGGTGTTGGAATAAGGCCTTTGCTTCCAATGTGTTTTCTAAAACAGAACAAACTATTCTAAATAAAATAAACAATTACTAATTACTACACATCAGCTTTCATCCACTTCAGTATATCACAGTTGAAATTAAGAGGCTCGATGCCTCTCTCTTGCATGATAAAGTGTGAGGGATGGCTGTGTTGCCCCTTCAGGTGATAGAAACAATTTTCCAGCTCATGGGCACAGCTTTGCTAAGTGGTCCCTGCAGCCTGGCTAGAGTGTGGTTTTTTCTGTCTGCTGGAAATAGAGTTTTGTCCTCCCAGTATATAAAAACAGTAGATGCCAAATAATGTTATTCCCTGATAAACCTCTTGCATGTGGTCTCTAAAGTATAGCATATATTTATTAATCTGTTTAAGGCAAAGAATACCCCTCCACTGTGTGAGTATGGAAGAGCCCAGCGTACTCCTTACCATTTTGCTTGGCCGGTAGAGTGTGTCCCTCCGCGAGTCCACCCTCAGCTTTCGATCTGTTCAACAGAGATGAGTCTAGTGCGAGTGAGCATCAGTAGGTGCTCACCACCACCACCCCCATTTTGCAGATCCTAGTGACCAGATACAAGCAGATATTTTTGTTTCTCTGGCATAGGTAGCAGAACAAACACTTAGCAGTATTTCTGCTAATTCCTATCTCACTGATATAATCAAGGATCTATCTAGCTGGGGGAAAAAAGCTTCCTTCTTTTTGGTTGGTTTCTGATCACATGTTTGTATACATATCTGTGTCAATGTTAAAGGCTTATGCCTCATCTCCATGATTATTGTGGAAAATGAGACGTTAATAGTTAATTTTAATCCAGCAAGATGACTTTCAGGAAAAAAAAAAATCTCAGTACATTTTGACATTGGAGAAAGTTAATCAGAAGGTATGTGTGAAAGAGCCTAGGCCAGGTCAGTCACTGGCACCCACCAGATGTTTGTCATATTTCCTTCTAGATAATTCACTGCTTGCTAGTAGGAATTTAAATATCTAGGCTTCCATTTTAAAGGAATGCTTTTACCTGTTTATGTGTGAGTGTGTGTAATAAATGCACACAGATATGCCCACATCTCCCTAAGGCCAACATCACTAGAACGATGGATGACAACCTTGTTGAGGCTCTTTCACATAGGATTAGCCAATCTTGCCCCAAAAATCCTTCTGCAGAAGCCTACACACCTTGTAACTGAGGTTCGAGGATATATACGCGACAAATCTAAAAATTTTGCGGAGTTATTTCCTAAAAATAACTTTGAGTTCCACAGCCTACTACCCTAAACATTTCTTGGGATGAAGGAATTCCCTTCCATTACAGCCAGCATTCAAACGCCATAATTCCATCATGTTAAAACTTGAAAAACTCACCCAGAAGTTAGTTAGGTATCAGGATTCAGTTCTGTCAGCTACATGATTGGAAGGCCTGGTTTTTAATCATCACGAAGATCTGTGGTTTCGTAAGGTCACTCCTCAAAGAAGTACTAAACTTCCTGACTAGAGTTTATTTCCCCACAATGTGACTGTGTCAGAGATAATTTTTCAGGACTGTACAGACTAACCCCCAAATGACCCCATCAGAATGGCTTGCCTAGCAAGAAAGCCTCTGCTGGTGGTTGGCTTGCAGATTATGGCTGTTACCGTCGTGGATGGTGGGCATCACACGAGCTTCGATGCCAGGTGCCATTGGCTTTTTGGAGCTCAGGGTCACAGGGTCTCCCACATCCTGTTCTCTCTCTGTTTGGGGTACTTGGAAAGTGTGAGAAGTTTCTTAGAGTTTTTCTGTCTTGGGTTTTTCAAGGTCACTTTAAAACACACACACACACACACTGTTACTTGCTCCCTAATACAGGCATATTTGTAAAACTGAGTTGCTTCCAATAATGTTTGCTTGGAGAATCTCTTGAGTTATTGCAGACAATACAGTGACACTTTATCCTAATAACTTCACATATAAAATCAATGGGAGGGTGCTGTTAATGTTCTTTATATGCTCTGAAATATATTCTAATGTTCTTTTTTTTGTTTGGAACTTATTCTGAAGTTTGTATTGTTTGCTGTTTTTTTGTTCTAGAAGCTTTGCAGCAGGTTTTGGCTAAATGCGCTAAAGGTTTTTACCTCAGGCCTTTCATTTTGAAGTAGCTGACCATGAATTTGAGGTTGCGTTGTGGCTCAGAAGATTCAGGGGCTTGGCTGAAGAGTGAGGCATTGACTGTTGGTTACCAGAACAGGTTCACCAGATGTGGACTAGTAAGGAGTAATTTTATATGTAGGGAGTAATTACACATGTTACAGTCAGATCTATTGGGTAGTTAATGCGAGTGAAAGGAGCAGGGCATTACACCATGAAATCATGAGCTCACGTGGCTCCTCTTGAATGAAAATGGAGACAGTTTTGTTAAATCATTATAATTCTGCTTAAATCCCCAAAGAAGGTAGGAGGTTGGTTCTGGAGGGTAGCATCTGGGACCAGACAAGTACTTCAAGGTGGTAAAAACTGAAAGCATGGCATCATTAAAGGGAAAGATGTGAAAAGTATAATAGTGCTTCTGGAAGAAAAAGGTGAGAGGATGAGCGAAATCCTAATTAGTTCAGTCCCAAAAGAGCATCACCATTTGGTGCAGAGTCCACTTCACCAAGTAAAATGTAGGTACCTGTCCAAACTGTAAAATTAGCAAAGACTACTCCAGATGTAGTGTATATATAATAAATGACAGAGAACCAGCAGAAATATAGAAAGAGGCAGATTTAAAGTATGGATTTGTATTTTCTCTAGTGAAAGGAAAAAAAAAAAAAGGAATACTAGAAAACTGTGCTCACTTTAAAAAGGTATAATGGTTGGGGCACCTGGGTGGCTCAGTCGGTTAAGCATATGCTTTCGGCTCAGGTCATGATCTCGGGGTCCTGGGATCAAGCCCTGAGTTGGACTCCCTGCTCAGCAGGGAGCCTGCTTCTCCCTCTCCCTCTGTTCCTCCCCACTGTTCATACTCTCTCTCTCTCTCAAATAAATAAATAAAATATTTTTTTTAAAAAAAAGGTATAACGGTTAAGAATAAGAAAGTTTCAATGAATCAGGACCTTGTTGGTTCAATTATGTCATATGACAGCAGGCTCAGAAAGGACAGCAGGTGACTTTGCTACTGCAAAGTCATATTAAACGTTTAAGCAAACCATTTCCTGCTTATTAGAGCACCTAAGCTGTGGATGATGTGAATGGTTTGCAGTGGGGAAATGTAGAGATGCATATCTTTTTGCCTTCTGAAAAGCCCAATAATTTCAAAGAACACTTGTAGTTGGTTGAGCCAAGTGAACTTAACTAAAAGGTGGATTTGACTTCTCAGAGGTGAGCACAATAGTAAAAACCAGGCTGTAAACCATAACACTAAAGAACAATTATGAGGCATTTTTATAGATTTCATCTGAACCCAGGGAGAAGGAATAATTTTACAACTCTGATGAAATAAAAGGTCTGCTTTGGCAATGTTTGATAAATTTCTAGGTTTCAGGGGAGCAAGGACAAGTTGGGTGTTGCTACATGAGTGTTACTCTAGCCCCCCCAAAAATACGATCTCTGTAAGATTTGGGAAGTGTCCTTGTTGTAGAGCACTTTGTCAAAACATACTTTTTTTTAGCTATTGCTTAAAATTTGACCTTAAAGTCAAAATACTCACTTTTAATACAAACAGTATGCTGTTCTATTTTACTGCTTTTTCTCTCCTTTTTTTTTTTTTTACTGCTTCTTTTTGCCTGTTAAAATTATCATCTGAAATCCAGAAGCTGTATGGTTAATATAAAAGCTGACAATTCTGGTGTGTCATTTCAGGGATTATCGGAATGAAGGCAAGATTCCAGGGGTCACAGCCTTTCTGGGTATTTAGATTATAGTCAGTCCAAGTAAAGCACAGAAAACAGCTTTGCATAGAAATACCACTGAAATATGTCTTTGTTATATGCTATAGAATAGCATGTCTGACTTTTAAAATGTAAAAATTGAGATGCAGGGAGGCTGCTTTTGTAAGCATATTACAAAAAAAAGGTATTTCAGCACCTTTTCTTACCACTTGGTTTTCTGATTTCCATTTCTGAGCATAAATTGCTCTTTTAGCCATATGAATTATGGATTGAACTAAAACAGCAGTGTAGAAATGTTTAGGATGATTTTTGAAGATTAAGCCAGTATTAGTATTCTCTAGAAGTACAAAAGAAAAATATAAACCTATAGCAGTGCCCAAAGGAAAGAAAATGTACCAGGGAGCTTTTCCCCCTCATTTGTTTTTGTTTGTGTTTAAGATTTTATTTGTTCATTTGAGAGAGAGCACAAGTGGGGCCGGGGTGGCAGGGTGGGCAAAGGGAGAAGCAGACTCCCCGCTGAGCAGGGAGCCCACCACAGGGTCTCAAACCTAGGACCCTGAGATCATGACCTGAGCCGAAGGCAGACGCTTAACCCTGAGCCAGCCAGGCACCCCTGTTGTTTTGTTTGTTTAATTGAAATTGCTAAATGGATATTAAACTAGGGAATACAACCTCTTCATGCCAAGAAGCTGCTCACTTGTGCACCCAGAGCCTCAGGATTACCTGGCAAGGAGGGCTGGGTAGAAGGAGGCAGAACAGAGGCACAGCTCAAGGACCACTGGAGCTGGAGGAGGCCGCGGCAGGCAGCCACAGTGAGCTGGGATATCTTGGTAGCACGAGGCTGGGATTGGCCTGTGGGCAAGTCGCGAGTTCATGAGCCAGCATTTTTGAATAAGCATGTTCTTGATACCATTAAACCAAGTAACAAGAGAATTGCCTGTTTAGATGATTCCTCTAGGTTTTCGGGTAATTGACGTTGTACGTACCGTTTATGCTAGTAGGAAAAAAAAGACAACTAGAAAGAAAGAAACCAAGATATTCACAGTAGTTTCTCTGATGGTAGAATTAGGATTAATTTGTTATATTTCACTTTATTGGGTTTTTTCATGTATTTTCTTTTTTTTTTTTTAAAGATTTTATTTATTTATTTGAGAGAGAGAGAATGAGAGAGAGCCCATGAGAAGGGGGAGGGTCAGAGGGAGAAGCAGACTCCCTGCCAAGCAGGGAGCCTGATGCGGGACTCGATCCAGGGACTCCAGGATCATGACCTGAGCCGAAGGCAGTCGCTTAACCAACTGAGCCACCCAGGCGCCCTTTTTCATGTATTTTCTAACCTGTTTTACAATGATTACTACTTGCTGAGAACTAGATATTTCTCTCCAAGAAAATCTAAAAGTGTTATCTCCAGATTCGGGTGATTTTCTTATTTGTCTTTCTAAACTGTCAGATTTTTTTTTTTTAAGATTTTATTTATTTATTTATTTGCCAGAGAGAGAGAGAGCGCAAGCAGGGGGAGAGGCAGGCAGAGGGAGAAGCAGGCTCCCCGCTGAGCAAGGAGCCCGATGTGGGACTCGATCCCAGGACCCTGGGATCATGACCTGAGCCGAAGGCAGACGCTTAACCATCTGAGCCACCCAGGCACCCCTAAACTGTCAGATATTTCTAAACAGAGACAAGAGTGATAGTGATAGAGGGCATTTAAAAACAGCGAACAAATGTTTAAAGGTGATTTTTTTTTTCCTTTGGAAGAATAGATTTTTTTTTTTTGCCACCAAAGTCAAAGTGGGTTAAGTTGATGAGAAGTTATTAATAATACTGATTAAAACTATTGCACATGAAAGTGGTATAATACACTGCAGGTCCACACCTAGACTCCAGATCGCCACTGTTTCTTGAAAACCGGTTCTCAGGCCTCCCACAATGCATTTATTGTTGTTACACATGCTTTTGGCTGGGGGAGCACAGTGCTCATGGCATACAGGTGGTATTCCGCTGGTGACATATGAATGCTTACAACTGCGTGTTTTTGTCTTCCAGAGTTGTCTTGGTTCAACTGGTGCCTTCCCGGGTCGTGTTTGCTCAGTCTCCTCCTCATTCTGTGCTTCAGGGAATCGTATGACAGACTGTATCTTGATGTGGTTGTCTCAGTATAATGGCACGAACGTGAAGGAATTTAAAAAGGGACTGGAAATCATACTGCATACTGCACATTTGCTTGGAGTTGCACACCTAACGGGAAAAACAAAAGGAGAAGAGAGAAACTTCACTCAGAGGTTTTGTTAGGTTACAGATGATCACATTCATTTCATGACTACTAGGTAATAATAATGTGGGACTTAGGGATACTAGGGGATTGAAAGACTATAAAATGGCACACCTGTGCCTGGTTCCGGGGTCGGAAGTGTGGATATCTTACACGTAAAGCACTACCTAAATAATGTCCTCTATGTTTTGTGCCAGTGCTGAACTACTGATTGATCATTTGTAATTATGGAAAGAAAGAAAGGGTATTTGTCACATACCTTACCTAAGTCACATATCAGAGTAGGAAGAAATGCCACTAACTTCTAAAGAAGTTTAAACCCTCTATCAGATTTTAATTATAAAATAGCCAAGAGGTCTATCGATGATCAAAATTAGCCACGTGTACACTACGTTTTTTCTAATAAAGCCATTTCTTATATGACTCCTTATTTTTAATTAGGTCAGAAACCTTTGGCCATCTTTATTACGGTGAACAAGTGCTTCCCACTGATTTCAGAGCACATACTTTGTGTCTCGATCTCAACTTATCCTTGTTTCTGTGAAATACAATTTCATCTACTAGGCTCTTAAATAATTATATTAAAGGTGACTAAATGTTCGGTATAGTCGCATTAAATACTGTATGAAAAATGTAATTCCGTACTGATTTAGCACTTTGTTAAAAGTGAAATGACAAATCACATAGAACATTCTGTGTCTTCATGCTATATATACATATACATGTATATGTATATATATATATGGTGGCATGGGATGTAAAGTCCAGTAAAGTCCAGCACCAGCTATTATTCGCTAGGGTTGCAGTTTATTAAATGACCCTTGTTTGAAAATAACAATTTCTAATGTTGAAACTTCCAAATCTGTTGAGTGGTTTCTGGATTACATTCTTGTATTTCAATTCAGGTTGTAAAATACTCAATTCTGTATGGAGTCCGTACATTTGAGAAGGCGATCTTTTGCCAGTACCTGTTTTCTTTGTATGGATGATAGTTTTTTTAAAAATGACAGTTACTCATTGGACAGCTCTCAGACATATATTTCACTGTGACATAAAATATGCTCCAATGGGATTATGATACTACCACTGTTCACATTTACATCATTCCCCTTACCCAGGAAACCCACACATTTTCCCAGAAAGACAAGAACAATACTTTCTTTGCCTTCATTATTCTCAGCTTCCTTCAACCCCCTCTCTTTTTTTTTCCTCCCTTGAAAGTATATCTTCATTGTCAGCTAAATACATTTTTATTTGTCTTTCTCTGGACAGAGTGCAAGCCAACTCCTCTCTTAGCCTTGGTGGTAGAATGTGGTTAAAGAGAGCTAGTTAGCCCTCCGCTCTGCTCATCTCACCACGTGTGCACACACCCTCACACACAGTCCCAAATGCTCCCCCTTCTCCCCCTTCATAAGGCCAAAGCTGTGTGGGAACTCACCCCGGTCTCAGAGGGGGTCTAAGCCTTCTTCTGAGATCCTAAATTGTGCTCCTTGAAAAGTAAGAAATTCAGCCTCTGTCTTCCATCACCTTTAAATCAGCCCCTTTATAACCATCCTGCTAACTTAGCATCGAGAACTGAAGGAACTAAGGAACCTGCTAAAGAGAAGAAAGCTAAGGAACTTGCTAAGAGAAGAAAGCTAAGTAGTTCCAGTTAACTCTGTCACCCTTCAATAAAAGGAAAGCAGGATTCTTGAAGATGATTGAAAGCCAGCCACTATGGATATTAGCAGTCCATGAGCCGGTGCTAAACTAACCCCCAGCCCTTCCTTTTTGGATAGAAGACAGAAAGGAGAGGGAAGAACTAGGAAGTATTTGGTTTTAGTCAGAACTATTGTGTTTGAGGACACTGTATATGAAATTTTGCTATAATAAGACATGAAGTAGAACATTTTAATTTTAGTTAATTCTACTTTTAAGACAAAGTGAAGAAAAACACTTTAAAAATATTACCTAAATGACTAGTTTAATGACATCCCATGTGGGTAGTGATGAAAAATTCCTACATTGTACCAGACACCAACCATTGTTTTTAGCACACATGAAATGAGATGAGTACTTCCGTCTATTCTATCTGCTTACCCCTCTGGCAGACGCTTGTTCTAATCACAAACTGCAACTGTTTTAAGTCATCAAAATTTCATATACCAAACCTGATAGAACTAAAGGGGAGAGAGGACTACACATTATTCATTTCCCTGAATATTTCAAGTCATATGCATTTTTTACTTGTTATTTCTAGCATGCATCACAATAGACCAGCTGTTGTCTTTGTACTTTCTAAACAGACATTACAGAGTCCCAATGAAATTTTATAACGAAAGAAGTCTGAACCCTCTACTAAGCCAAGCCCCTCATTTTAGAATTTATAGAAACAATCCCACAGAGGTTCAGGGTCTTGCTGAAGGTCACAGTCCTAGTTAGTGACAGAAGTAGAACCAACTGAAACCCACACCTTGTGACTCCCAAAGCAGGGTTTTTCCCTACTTCACAAAACCGCGGCTTAATTCAAACATTTCGGGGGGTTTGTGAGTACTCCTCCATGTTCACACATGGTGGGGCTCCAGAGCAAATCATCATTACTCAGTATGGAAAGTACAGGGATCCAATTAAGGTGACTGGTTTTTAAGTAAGATCATTCTGTTTTCTTCATCCTGTTGGTGCTCTAACATCTCTGAGTCTTCGCTTGCAGGGACGTGATATAAAACGATTCTGATGAATAATTCAATCCTCATAAACCAAGTCAACAGCATTAATTGGTAAGGACATGTTGTAGTGTAAGTTCCCCGTGGCTTATCAATGAATACTTCACAGTTTATGGGAAGAAACATTTTTTAATATGGTCCGTGGTCGAGGTATAGGCACAAGATAATTACACACACAAATGCATTTCACTGGAGGATGGAGCTAATAAAATAACAAGAGGGAATCAAGTTCAAGTAGGATTTTGTATGTTTAAGCATATATGGCTTCAGGACCAAGCTTTATCATAGATCATATATTTATGCTTAATTATTGAGAATGTTTACAGCTTGTTTTTATGAAGCCCTTCTAATGAGGGATTCAGCTAAGAGATTTTAAATTGAAGAGATTAAATTCCCATCTACTTCAAATTAGGGGTTTTTTACTCTTATTTTTACTAAAATCTAGGCATTCATCTTGCTGGTTACATAAGTAGTAGCTACATTTTAAACTCAAGATCAAATACGAATGCATAGTAAATGTGCTTTAAATTAATGTTAAAAATCACATTAATTCCACACTGAATTACTGTGATTATACCATTTTATATAGCAAGTGCAAAAGAAAACTATGAGGAAATTTGATGACACCTATTTTGTGGATCTAGGAAAAACAGAATTCCCCTTTAATTTAGAATTATACAGAAAGGGACAAATTAAAGCTTATTTCCATACTATCAAAGAATTCGCTACTCTGTTCGGAAAATATAAGCAATATTCCGGGGGCATGTAGTGTTGGACCATCCCAGAAGAACAAAAGTTGACAGATTTTGGGGTGCTCTTTTAACAGCATCCATTGGGTACTTTGTACTCAGTGGAAGTAGTTGTGTGCTCAGTAAGCGGACGCCTTGGCTGCCCCAAGCGCACGTGTCCTCTCAGGTGTCTGAGACTCTCCTAGGTCTCTGCTTCCTTGAACTGACTTCCCGGCACAGGCTTCACCCTGAGCCCGTCCCTGAGCTCCGAGGCGGAAGCCCAGTCTCATTCTTGACTATGACTAAGGCCATACGCCTGGGCTTCCCTCTCCTGAGCAGGACGCTAGCATGAGTAAATCCAGAGAGATTTAACGGTTCTTCCCACAGCAAGTCTGATAAATTAGAATATTCCCTGAAATGGGAATGACAGAGGTCTCAAACAAGCTTCTCTAGTTATTACCTGTTGCATTTTAGAATATGGACTGTTTCGATAGCCTTATGTAGTCTTTCTGTTGTGCCTTGGAAATCTGGAAGGCCTCAAATGATAGCTTTCCATCTCAACCCACACTCAAAAAGTGAGAGCAAAGGTTACTCCCCCCTAGCTGTTCTGCTCATTCAACAAGGGACACTTACACTTTTTTTTTAAACAACCAAAAAATGAAAGCATGGAATTCATTTCAGCAACTTGATAAAATGTTAGAAACGCATCAAACCATTTTAGCTCTAAAGCACACATCACAGTGCTCTTGGGGCTCCCTCTGGGCACTTCTCGTCTGTAAGGGAGGCTTCCACAGTCTTGACCAGAATGGCAGGAATGACTTGGAGACACTTTTCATTTACCTAAATGTTAAAAATCATACTTCTACTTCATACAACTTAATTTAGGCTTTTTCTAATTCAGATTGATTTTCTTCCCATTGAATCAAAGAGATGATCTAATCCAACTACCTCATTTTACAAATTAACAGAGAACCTTTGAAGTTCAATGCCCCAGCCAAGTTGTAGCAGATAACCTGAGTCCTAGACCAGCATTCTTTCCATAAGTGATGAATGTGGTGACCAGAAATAAATTTTTTAAGTAATTTCTTCATTTCTTTTAAATTTTTGAAAATTAAACAAGAAAATCCATGAATGTATATCCATTATAAAATACCCAGTACAGAAATAGAGTGAAGTCTACCTCCATACAAACACGTGCTGACTATCCATTCCCCTTCTCCAAAGTATTTCCTTATTAATCTTTTCAGAAATTCTTCTGTGCTTTCACATACGTATGTATAGAAACTTAGAGGGGATTTAAAATTAAGTCATCTAGGGAACTGTTTCTTAGACCGTGTTGGCATTAGCTTTTGGGGGGCAGAAGCAGGAGTTTCTGAGATCCTTATTTCTCTCCCAGATGAGTCTGTATCAAATGTAGGAGTAGTTAATAGAGACAGGTCACAAACCTGGTTGTGTACCATCAAACTCTATCATATCCTAAAGTTTAAAAGTGAAATTTAATATGCAATATTCTGTTTTTCTTATTGGAAATTGAGTTTCTGTTTTTATGTGGTCAACTAGGGCCCACATACTGCGAGAGAAGAAAGTGAATGACCCACACCCGAAACCCAAATTAATTTTCTCGACAGGGCTTCCTTGGCTCTTTGTCTCAGGAGAGACACACAACCGTATAGAAAGCAAAGAATCAAGAGAGTAAACTGTGTGATTCCATTTTTTTAAAACAATAGCTAATGAAGATTCTGGTGATCCTTCCTATTTTCCTGGTCACTTTCCTTAGCTGTCCTGACTCTCACACTACCCATAAAACGGATGCATTGTAGTAGGACAAGAGTGTAGCTTGGTTTGGTCACCTCTTCCTTCCCTGCCCTCCTTCCCATCCAGCTTTCCCCTTTCCGGTTGCGTCAGATTTTCCGAGTTACCAGCATTAGAGAGGAAAGCTGGCCAGTTTCTTCATGAACTAGACTAGAGACACCCAGGAGCCCCCGGGCCTGGCAGGTGTCCCAGGCCTAGTGTCTTCAGCTGTTTGACCTTGAGCAAGTCACTTCATTTCCCATTTATCACATCTCTGAAATAAGGGAGCCAACAAAGATATTCCCTAAGGTCTGTTCCAGTTCAAAAACTCAGGTCTGTTCTTATTTAAGTAGGAAAAAATGACGAATGACGGAAGCAGTCTCTAAAATTGCAGACCTTCCCAGCACCGTCATGTTTCCATTTGTGCAGTGGCCCTCCTCCTGTGAATACATGGACTATTCCACTGCACACGCTAGACGAGAAGAATTGGCTTTTTCATTGTATGTGGTAGGAGATAAGCTACAGGTGCTGTTTATTTCCCCCAAAGAACTTTGTATATGAAATGCATCAAACACATCAAAATGTATCAAACACAATAAGAGAGAGATCTGCCATCTGATGTTGAGACAGCGTTCCAGAAGCCAGGTCAGAGCACTGCATTTGCTCGCTGGAATCAGGCCAAACCAGGAACCCATCCTTTGGCTTGGTTTGATTCATTGTGAGTCAGGGACGGGTTTGCACCTGTAGAAATCAAACTGTCAGATCAGATGGTAAAGCCCATCCTCAGGCTTATGTATCTAGAGTCATGGCACCAAAGGATTGATTGTAAGTTGCTTTGCCACTATGTCATCCTCGACATGGCCACATTCTGTCAGGAGAGCTGTGCGGATACCTCACAGAGAGCAGAGCCTCAGCTTGTCAAGGCCGGATCTGCGTGCAGGTATTAGTAAACAAGGCTTCACTGAGGCTCTGATGTGAGCACAACAGCTAATGGAGAAAGGAACCGAAAGAAGGGACCAGGCTGGGAGTCAGAAGGGACCAGTCTCTCGCCAGGGCAGCTGCTGAGCACCCTTGGGGCCTTTGGCAAACCACCTGTCCTCTCGGACTTCATTTTCCGCACCTCTAAATTAAGAGGGTGAGAGTAGATGTTCCTTTGGCTGAAAAGTTTTCTACACCTAGTGGTCACACGTCACCGAAAGTAGAAGACGATAGTAGAGTGCACTACCTATCCCCAATACTTCCAGTTCTGCATTATCATCTCAGATAAAGGCGGAAATTCTACAGGGCCCTGTTAGCTGTTAGTGATGTGCTAACAGGAGCCGGGCAGTGCAAGAAACTCAGGCTGTCAACATACCCGTTTATTCCTTCCCTCGTCCTTCTATTCATTCTGGATAGAGTAATGATATGTGTGCAGTGTGTGCCTGTGAAGAGAATCAGAAAACCAAAGATGTTTCTATCCTTCAGGACCCTTTAGACATATTTTAAAAACCATAACACTCTCCTGAACTAACAATTAAAAGAAAGATTGACAGTTTCCCAAATCCTTAATTACACACAGCAGGCACCTAAGTACCTTTCTCATACCATCATTAACCATAACTGATTTCAAGGAAAGAATATTTTGTTCCATTGAAATTTTCATCATAGACAGAAGCTGTATCTATCTGGGAGCATGGAATCAATTTTGGCATTAGGAATCCCAACCTCACCATCACGGCTGGCTTACTAGTCCTTCAGGAAGTTGGGAAGATTGTTGGCGCCTCCATTTCCTCTGAAGACAAATTTAACAAATGCATGCACACTAAGATACCCATATTCATAAGGCCTTGTGAGTCTCCTTTCTAAGGGGAATTTGAATTTTAACAAAGAACAAAGACTAAACACCAAAAGGAAGGATTTCTAATGATAGAACTTGGGATTTCAGCCTGTCAGATAGAGAAGGGCTAGTCTGGGGACTGGAGTCTTTATGGGAGCCCTTCCGGTCTCCCCATCTGCGAGTGAACCCAAGCACACTTGATGCATCACTAGTGAAGTCCCAGCCTCTGAAGACTTTGCAGAAACCCAAAGAATGCTAAAAAAGGGGGGGAGGGGGAGGTTTTAGTTCTGCAGATGATTTTATTTAATACAAATGTCCCCAATTTCAAATTTATCTCCCTCTCCACCAGGAATGTATCCTTTTGGAGGCTTTTGAAAATTAAGTTTTAGGAAAATTCTGCCTCCCTCTTGCTAGATGGCATCTACAAGTCCCAAACAACATCGCTTCCTTTGACCTATGCACATAATGTGCTATTTCTGTTTCGGTCTGTGACTCGGAGAACGTGCCTGGCAGAAGTCAGGAGAGCTGATTGCTCCCACCTCACCTGTCATAGGACGGGGCCTGTCCAGTGGAATTTAGCTAAGATGAGGGGGTGTGTTGGGGTGGCCTCTTTCTTCTTAGTTCTTTCCTGAACTCACTAATTCACATTGTATTGTTCTTCCTGATCTATAAGTTATTGCTGAGAAATTGTTTTAGTAAGTGACAGAGATGTCTCAGATGCAGCCATCCCTCTCCTCCATAATCCCACTGTCCTTGCGGCTTGTGCCCTAGAATCCTTGCTCCATGTCCCAAGGAAAGTAATTACATTTGTTCTTTTCAGGGAAAAAACATCAATTGATATGTTAGCCCTGACACCTCACCCTCTTTTATCCCAAAATAGAGAAGCCCTTCCATATTTGTTGTCGTTTTCACTCAAGCTTAGTGTCAATCTCCAGGCAGGGCGACTCCATGCTACCCTTCTGATGCCTGTAATCATCCTTCCACCTAACTGGGAGAAAGGTTATTCAAATGAACCAGCTACTGATTTCCTTCCCATCCAGTCTTTTATCAATATTGCTCTACCAGTAAATTCTTTGTTAGCTAGGTCCTGGAATTTATTTCATGTTTTTTTAAACTTTAATTTTTTTCTTACAAAATTGCTTCTTTTATCTTAGAGCAGACTATGATCTTTTTCCTTCTGTGTACTTTATAATACAATTTGTACATAATGGAACATTCTAAAATAAAGTCAGGCAGGGATTTCATCATAGCCAATATTAAATGCCGGGAAAGGCAGATCATATTTAAAAAAGAAAAAAGATCTAGGATGCAGGAGGCTGGATCTCGTAATTCAGCCAGTATGTTTGCAGATCCTGCAGCATGCTGAGCACTGGGCTAGGCGCTGAGGTTGTAGAAACAATTAAGACAGTGTCCTGGCCCTCACATTCATTTTCCGATGAGTCCATTCATATAAACCGTGTAGTTCAAAGCTAGCAACACCCCCCAAAAGGCTGCTAGAAGCTTTGTCACTTATTTCTACAACTGTCTATGGGATCTTACTCTATTTGGAAGAACAGGTTCTAAATCCTGTTTTCTTGGGCCATGACGAATCCATGCGTGTCCCTAACTTCATGGAGTATAACACACTCCTGGACAGCTTTTGAAGGGAAAGGCAGAGAAATCTGTTTTGATGACTTGAGAAGGGGAGAAAGGGTTTAGGAAAGCTAACAAGCTTCCAAAGATTTCCCACCTGTTAGTGCTCTTTCAGACATGGGACTGGGCAGAGGGAAGAGCCTTCTAGTAAGGAGGAGACAAGGCTATGTAAGGAGGCCCAGGAGACCACCGTGGAAGAGTCAGTGAGACGTAAGCCAGGCCTATAGGCATGTGTTAATATATCTGCTGAGCAAAATTGGAGAAGGAGGTTTGGAGGCAGAGTTGTAGTAGAAGCCAGATTCTGGAAAACAGCCCCGAAACTGGCTTATTCTCACTGAGTCATCTGGCTCAGCCTCCTGCCTCCAAGTACATCCTGCCTGTGGCACGTCTGGCCAACTGCTTTCTCTGCTCAAGAGGGCTGGAGATTCTACAACTTCCCTGTCCCTGTGCCAGAGCCTCTCCCCATTTGCACTGAGAACTTCTTGCTTTCAAGGAATGGAGGCCAGAGGGGGCTGCTCAAGAAACAGTGGCAGAGGGAAGCCAGCAGAACAGATCAAGGCAGAGGGCCCCAGGTAACGAGGGATTGTAGTGGTGAGGGAAGAGTCCCCACGGTTCCCACTTCGCATTGGCATTCACGCAAGCCGGCGGGAGCGCTGGAAGGCGGCGCCCGCCATCTGGAACCGCCCCCCCCCCCCCCCCCCCCGCCCCGCACAGATGCCCTGTCTGGCATGGTGGGTCTCCAGTTCTGCTCTGAGAAAGCAGTGGGAACAGACATCCATCGCCTCCCAAGAGGAACTGCGTTTTACTCCAAAGGCTGTAACTTTAACAACCCCCCTCCCTTCCATCCTCCAAGGAATGTTCTGTAATTGAAGGCATGCCTTTGAAACCTATTGTGTTTCATGCACTCTGCCAGCATAGTTGCTTTTCATGCCAATTCTTGGATGCAAAGAAATCTTGAGTAGTCCAAGTGGACTTCGATCCAAGTAAAATTCCCGTCTCTTACTCCATTCAGACTTCTCCGTCCACCTCCACCCTCTCAGTCACTCTCCTAGAAGCAAGCCAGAAAGCCTGTCCAGCCAAAATCGCTATCCCAAAGCCCAAACACTTCGTTGTTCGCCTTCTGCTCCTAAGTCACCACGCATTTGGTCTAACTTTATAGTTCTCTGGCTTGAGCGGCCGTGCGCTACCTGACAGAGCAGGAAGGCAGGCCGAGGCCGGGGCAGCAGGTGGTAGGTCAGGTGGCTGCAGAAACAGAGCAGGTGCAGCTCCTGGAGCAGGAAACTTCAACAGTCCTATGGCCACCACCACCCATCCGGGGAGTGGGAAGGGGGGGACTAGCATGCCAAACAGACTCCCCCATTCTCATTCCCCGGGGTTCCTGTAGGTCACCCTGCCTTCAGCCTTGAGGCTCCCTCTTGGCCTTGAGTCGCATTCCTGTTCATGCTCCCCACCCCCCACCCCCACCCCCATTGTCTCTGGTTAGTCCAAGGCTGCAGTGAAGTCCCTGATTCCTTTCATTCAGTCTATGGAAAAACAAAGTCCTTTCCTGCCGGGATCCGGGTCCACCCTGGGAACGGTTTTTGGCTGAAACTGCTACAGTTAAACACAAGAAGTTCTGATTACAAGAGCAAAATAGCGTTCCAGCAGGCTGCAGCCGATTCACTGCTTCTGGGGCTCTAAGGAGGAGAATGGGTCAGGGCTGGGCCAGAGGACTGAGCATAGACCAAATGATCTCTTGAGATTCCTCCCAGCTCCAGGACCTGATTTTTCCAATGGCAACACTAAGATCTAGGCAACACAAAGATCTAGACTCTTTGACAGCAGGGGCCCCACCTCTTATGACACCGCATGTGCTCGGGCAAACTTCCTCTTCCCAGCACAAGACATGGTGTAAATATGAACAGGTGCGGGGGGAGCTTAGAATCTGCCCCCACGGAGCCTCGGTGCTGGCAGGGGCGGGGGGGGCGGGTTGTGTGCATACCTGCTTGCCCAGCTCTGTGACCCAGTGGGTCTATGCAACTGTCAAAGCGTGAGTGTGTGTGATAAATGCCCCTCTGACTCTCACAATTTAGGAGGTGTTCTGTGCGTTTTTAAACAACTCTTACCATGTAAAGATTGTATTACATTTTAATAAAAAAATTTTTTTTGCATTTTACTTTTTTAATATTTGGGGTTTTATAGACTTTGATTTTATGGCCAAGTATACTTTTGTAAGGAAATGTTGAAGTCTTGAATATTTTTATTCTTTTAAAACTATAGTTAATGTCAACTGTAAGCACTGATAAATAGTATTCATGTGCAATTTTCCCTCCTTTTCATCGGGTCTTTTTAAGAAACTATGTTTTGGCAAAGCGTTTTATTTAAAAACTCTGCTTCACTTTACACATTGTGAAGACTGAAGATTCTGAAAAATAAAGATGCATTTAAAATCTCTGTGCTGTTACATTGTGGAAATGGTAATGTGCATTGCTTTGCCAAAGTGGTAATTAAATGTTTAATGGTTTAGAACTCCCAGTTCAGAATGGGGGTTCTAGTCATTACTCACTGTGCAGGAGCTTCCATATAATAAGCCTCCGCTTCTTTGGAGAATGCACATTAGAATGGTGATCGCCTGTTCCGTTAGGAAATACGGTTACATTGATGTCATAGTTACTATGCTGTGGTTTTGCAATAAATGTGGATTGAAAGCACTCGTGATAAAGTGGTCCGCATTTTGTTTTTAATCAAACTCCAAATGGCAGTAGAAGTGCAGCCAAAGCTCCCTGAGCATTTGGGCAGCGAGATACGGTGGGAAGACACGAGCTTGGGAGCAGGATAGGCTGGGCCGAATCCTGCTCCTCTACCAACAAGCCCTGAGCCCTGGGAATTCTTTCATCTCTTTTGGGGATCCTGTGCTCTCCTCCATTAAAAAAGCATAATTAGGGACACCCGGGTGGCTCAGTCAGTTGGGCGTCTGCCTTCAGCTCAGGTCATGATCCCGAGATCCTGGGATCGAGCCCCGCATCAGGCTCCTTGCTCAGCGGGGAGCCTGCTTCTCCCTCTGCCTGCCGTTCTCCCTGCTTGTTTGCTCTCTCTCTCTGACAAATAAATAAAATCTTTAAAAAAAAAAAGTATAATTAACATGAAGGAGTGGGATAATTATACTTACCTCACATGGATTTTGTGACAATGGAATGGAGCAGTGAACAGAATGGTCATAAAGCACCGGGCACATCTTGGTGGCCTGCCTGATAAGTGTTGTTTGCCTTCTTCCTTTCCTTCCCTCTTGTATCCCTCCCAAAGTCTTCATTTTAATTTTCATTTAATTTAAAAATATATTTGAGGTAAAATTTGTTGACCCTCTGAGTAAGGCAATAGTTATTAAATCCATACATATTTACTACTACCTCTAATTTATCATAGGTGTTAATTCCCAGAAAAATTGATCACAGCTGGATTGAAAGAGTATTTGGGAAATGTGACAATGTTGTTGATATAAGTATGCCAAACTATTAGTCTACTGGAGATTCAAAGGGATTTGCCTTTGTGGAATTTGAAACAATAGAACAAGCAGCAAAAACTATTGAGGTAGGTCCAGATCCGTTCACGAAAGCATGGAGGATTCTCCTTTTTCACTTCCAAAGCAAGCACATCCACAGTTAAGTGGTGGGGAGCCCAGGCTTAGAAAAACTCGGAATGATGAATGTCCTTAAACCTTTTGGAGGCATGTTTTTCTTAAAACTTTCTGGATTAGGGGCGCCTGGGTGGCTCAGTCGTTAAGCGTCTGCCTTTGGCTAGGGTCATGATCCAGGGGTCCCGGGATCGATCCCCGCATCGGGCTCTCTGCTCCGCGGGAAGCCTGCTTCTCCCTCTCCCACTCCCCCTGCTTGTGTTCCCTCTCTCGCTGTGTCTCTCTCTGTCAAATAAATAAATAAATAAATAAATAAATAAATAAATAAATAAATAAATAAATAAATAAATAAAGTTTCTGGATTAGTTTCCAAACAGTCCTGTTCTCCTCTCGAAGGTTTCAAAGTCTTCATTTTTAAAAATACAGAAAAGCATATTGCTTTCTTTACTTCTTAATATAGAACAAATTGTAACTGTGTTTTTATTTTCTCTCCTTAACATTATATCATGAATGTTTTCCCATGGCCATGGAAAAATTTACAATTTAAAGTATCTAATTTTATTGTTGGACATTAAGACTGTTTCTGGGGAGATTTATTCTGGGGAATACATGTTGTATATTTATCCTCGACCTAGTTTCTGATTCTTTTCTTAGAAAAGATACCTAGAAGGAGAATAACTTGGTTCAGGTATGAGGACTTTTAGCTTCTGACAAGTATCCCCATATTAACTTAATTATTTATCCAGCTTAATGGAAAAAAAGAAGTGCTACTTCTCTACACTCACTTCTGACACCAAATATGCAGGGTTTTTTCACACCAAGCAATTGTCCGATTCTCATCAGATACCAACAGGTTTGGGTTTTTTTGGGTTTTTTTTTAGTTTTTTTTAGTTTTTTACTTTTTAACGTAAACCCTACCCCCAACATGGGGATCGAACTCATGACCCAGAGATCAAGAGTCATATGTTCTAGGGCACCTGGGTGGCTCAGATGGTTGGGCGTCTGCCTTCGGCTCGGGTCATGATCCCAGGGTCCTGGGATCGAGTCCCGCATCGGGCTCCCTGCTCCTTGGGAGCCTGCTTCTCCCTCTGCCTCTCTCTCTCTCTCTCTCTGTCTCTCATGAATAAATAAAAAAAATCTTAAAAAAAAAAAAGAGTCATATGTTCTCCTGACTGAGCCAGTCAGGCACCCCCAGACACTAACAGTTCAACTCAATCGTGACACTAACTGCCTGGAGTTAAGGTAGACCCCACAGGTTAAAGGCTCAGTCTCATAGGAGTGCCTCCCTATCCCCTACTTCAGACACCAACTGCAAGTCCAAATTGTCTGTCACCTCTGCTTCTGACCAATAAAAAGCTATAAATCAGGCGTTCCCATGACCCCATCCTCAGGTTTGATAATTTGCTAGAAAGGCTCACAAAACTCAGGAAAACGGTTTGTGTACTAGATTACCAATCTATTGCAACAGAATACAACTCAGAACAGCCAGATGCTAGAGATGAATAGGACAGGGGCTGGGGGAAGGGGCAGGGAGCTTCCGGGCCCTCTCCAGGCTTGGCACCACCTCCCAGCCCTGCCACGGGATCAGCAACCCCGGAGCCCAGCTCCAGAGGCCCTTCAGTTAGGGTTTTTAATGGAGGCTTCGTTAGGTGGGCGCGATTGATTAAATCATTAGCCATTAGTGATCAGCTCAACCTCCCGGTCCCTCTGCCCTCCCAGGAGGTTGGGGGAGGGGCTGAAGTGCCAACCCTCTAATCACGTGGTTGGTTCCCCTGGTAACCATCCCCGGTCAAGAGGCTAGCCAGGAGCCCCCAGCCGCCAGTCATTCATTAGCAGACAAAAGATTTATCACATTAGAGATTCTAAGGGCTTTAGGAGCTGTGTGCCTGGAAGTGGGGACGGAGACCTAAGGTTTAATTCATATTGTGTCACAGTCCCCCTTAGGGTCCACCAGCAAATGAATTTTCAGGGATTCTCCTCAGCTGGGAAAGGTGACAAGGAGGGGTGACAGAAATAAGTCACACTCGCCTCTCCTTCTTCTTCCTGCTCTTTTCTTCACTTCTCATAAACCACACTCCCTGGCGCTGGTGGGCCAGTCAACCCTTCAGTCCTTTCTTACATTAAAATCCTGGACCTGATGGTTTTTAAGGTTCTGTTCAATTCTGAATTCCAGCAAGTAAGGCAGAAAGGAGGCAGTGTAGGAAGGGATGGAGGGAAGGAGGGAAATTCCCAAGTAGATACATGAAGGTGGGAAGGCCCTATATGGGAGACTAGTTTTTCACTAGCGATGTCTTGCAAAAGCTGTTTCATGCATAATTTACTGGACTAGTATCATTTGTTCCCCCAAAGGACGCTAGGTCAAATTTTGGAATTTTGTCAATGAAGCAATTTTTGTGACTCTCAAGACCACATACTCTGACATACCAGGGACTCGGATTGCAGAAATGACTCTTCACCCTCCCATGCAAACGCTCAGTAACAATGGTAATAATTTGGGGTGCATGCTGGATACTGTTCTAAGCATTTTCTGCGCTTCAGCCCTCACAGCAAACCGGGAGTAAGTTCTATTATTAGCTCCGTTTTGCATTAGAAGAACAAATTGCCCAAGGTCAAATAGCTGGTGAGCCAAGGGGCTGGGTTTGAGCCCAGGATGGGGGAGGGGGGGCGGAGCTCCAGCCTTCAACTCGGATGAAGTTGGTCCTGGGTGACACCTTCTCCCCCCACCCCCATTCTCTCTTTCTGTTTCACGTGCGCGTGCAAAGGAGTTTTTCCAAGAGCAGTGCATTGGCATTGCCAGACATTGTTCGAGGCCCCGTTCTATAACCAAAGTCCTGCAAGGTAGGTGTCACCACGCCCACCTGACACATCACACGGCTGGGCAGTGGTGGCGGGTCTAGAATTCAAAAGTCCAGGGTCAACCCTCCATGTCAGGGGCCTTCAGATCAGGGCACGTGAGGGCAAGAGGTTCCCAGTATGATGGATTTAAGGAAAACCACATACTGCCTTTCCTAAAGCAGATCTGAGATCTGAGACCCTCCCGCTGACTTGAGGTCAGGGCTGGGTTCTGCTTTCCCACTCCCTTTTCAAGTTTGTCTTTCTCCCACTTGCAAATGAAAGGCAGGTCTCTCACACTTGCACTCTTACTGCGGAGGTCCGGGGGGTGGGGTGGGGGGGAAGCTCTCACTGCCCCCTCTCGCCCCCCCCTCAAAAAAAGTGGGAAAGGAGGAGGAGAACAATTAAAAATACATGTGTCCACAATACCTCTTCTAACCAGTTATCATGAACTCAGGGCGGGGCCTCACCTCTACCCCTCTCTTACACGTATTTCTGTCACAGACAATGTGGCATATTGTAAGACGAGCTTTGACTCATGTTGAGATGCTCAGACCTTGGACGTATTATAGAGTGGGGGAGCAGGAAAGATGACAACTGTTATTTAATAACCTTGGTCATGGGGCTCCTGGGTGGCACAGTCTGTTAAGCCTCCGACTTGGTTTCAGCTCAGGTTGTGATCTCAGGGTTGTGAGATGGAGCCCCACAGCTTCACATCACTCTGCGCTCAGCGGGGAGTCTGCTTGAGACTCTCTGTCCCTCTGCCCCTCCCCCTACCCTGCAGGCGCCATACTCCCTCTCTCCCTCCCTCCTGCTCTCTCAAATAAATAAGTAAATCTTTTTTTTTTTTTAAGATTTTATTTATTTGACACAGAGAGAGAAAGCACAAGTAGGCAGAGAGGCAGGCAGAAAGAGAGGGAGAAGCAGGCTCTCCACTGAGCAGGGAGCCCGATGCGGG